TGCTTCTTCGCAGTGGTTCGGCTTGTTGTTGTTGTTTAAGATTCGCTACTCAGAACAATAAGTTCCAGTAGCACGGGCTATGGTGAGCCCGTAAGTGGAGGCTCTTTGGAGCCATTATCTGTATCAGTGGCTGATACTAGAGATCTGGCGATGGATGGGGGTCTTCATGATAGTTTTCAGCCTGGGGGGCTGGCTATACCAGTTATGGAGCTGGTGGGATCAGTGTGGACCTCTAGGTTTTCCGTTTTTTCTTTGCTTCGGCTTCTGGTCTGTATCTTGTCTTCTATGTCAGGCAGCGGTGGAGATTCGCATGTTGTTTTGGGCGCTGGTTTTGTCGGGTTTAAACCCTGAGCCTATTTGTGCCTCTGTAACCCTTTCCACTACCCCCCAAAAGATGGGGAATGTGGTGCATAATAAATGAACTAAACTAAAACTGGTCAAAGATATTTCAAAGGTTCAAACAGTGTTGGATAATTTCGGAAACTTGTGTCACCATATGGGACTGGTGGTTAATGAAGACAAAACTAAGTTTGAATGTAGAAGTCGGAGGCCCATTATATTGAAAATAAACTGTAAAAATATAGAGTTAATATATATAAATATTTAGGCATATATGTTGGATATACCCATGAGAGTTTGGAAGCTGAGATAAACAGACTGTTGGGTCAATGTCGGAAGAGATTACAACCTCTGAAGGCCTTGGAATGCTGTAGAAAGGGAGTGGGAGTCCCTGTGCTGCGAATAATATACTTGAGTACTGTAAGATTCCTTATTGATTATCCTGCACCTGTTATTTCTTGTTTTGGTAAAAGTAGGATGGGAAGTTGGAGAAGGTACAAAATGAAGCCATGAGAATTATCTTAGGATGCCCAAGAAATGCTATGATTGAGATAATGAGGATGGCACTGCTGGCACTACATCACTGGCACTACTGGCAATTGTTAAAGTAATTCAGACATGGAAACGTATCAAAGATCACACACATTACTTTAAGACCTCTGTCTCTCCATCCGGTGGATTCACTCTGTCTCTCCCTGGCTGTGTGATACTCTTCACAGACCCACTCTGGACCTGGTGTTCGGCACTCTCTCTCTGGCTAACTCTCCTACAGGACCATATATACACCGAAAAAGGGGAGGGGGAGATTTGCTGTTGCAACCCGTTCTCGCAAATTCGTAAGTCAATATTGACTTATTAACTACGTGCATAGGTGATATACTAAACATAATAGATACCCTTAAAATGATTCATAGAAAACACCGACCTTACCTAACCTTGTTAGTATCTTAAGATAAGCATCTTATTGCTTCGTAATTACAATTATTACTTAACCTATACCTATTATAGGTTAGGTAATAATTGTAATTACGAAGCAATAAGATGCTTATCTTAAGATACTAACAAGGTTAGGTAAGGTCGGTGTTTTCTATGAATCTTTTTAAGGGTATCTATTATGTTAAGTATGTCACCTATGCACATATATAATAAGTCAATATTGACTTATTAAATTTGCGAGAACGGGTTGCGCTACCTACACCAAAGATGCAAGAGGTCGAGCCACACGTGCACAAACACTCAAGAATTTTTACATTAAGTTTGTGTGACATTCACCATACACTTCTTCAAGGAGGGGAACTATTAATTACGTGTGTGACTGACCTCTGACCTGGCTAAAAGGGGGAGATCCATGGATGTTTACACATAAGAATCTGAGGAGTCTAATTCCATTACACTGTTTGACAAGAGTATCATGAAATATTACATACTTGAAACTTGCTGACTAAGACTAGCCCAGGAACTTGTAATCAACATGCAAGATGATCCAGAGGTCATCTGGGCTGACCTCTTGGGGAAGGCTTCCTTGGGTGTGAACTCTAGTGGTGGGGGGGGGAAGGTCATGGGTGTTACAGCTTCCTTTTAACCTGCAATGTTAAATGGTATTCTTGTATTGTGATTTGCGTATTTGTACTCATTGAATTTGTGTGCCCCTTGAGGGACTTGAAGTGGAGAGGAGTAGAAATAGCCTAAGCTACTCTATCCTTTTGAGATGTATTATTTTTTTGTCTCAATAAACATACTTGAACTTGAACTAAAACTGTTCCCAGAACGAAAATTTTCTTGTTTAGGTATTTTATCCCTCTGACTAGTGCTCTTGCATATTGGTTTAATTGGAAGAGGATTTCTCCAAATGTCATATTTGTTAAAGATTTACTAAAAGAAAAATTGACTGTAGAATGTATTACACTTATTATAAATGCCCGAAACGCTTTGCGTAATAGTGGCTTTAGGCATTGTATGTACTAGCTATACCTATAAGTCAAACAATCCTTGTAAATATTTATTGTATGTATGTACCTTACGTAAATAAAATTGTATTGTTGTATTGTATTGTATTATAAATTTACACAACGTTTCGACCCTACAAGGTTCATTCTCAAGTGATGGGAGAGGGCTGTTGTTGTTGTTGATGGGAGAGGGCTGTTGTTGTTGATGGGAGAGGGCTGTTGTTGTTGTTGATGGGAGAGGGCTGTTGTTGTTGATGGGAGAGGGCTGTTGTTGTTGTTGATGGGAGAGGGCTGTTGTTGTTGTTGATGGGAGAGGGCAGGATGTATCGGATTTTCACCACTGGGAGGTCATGTACATACAATTAGGTGAGTAAATGGTAAGAGGCAGGTTGTACCTACAAGGATTAGTCAGGTGCCCACTACTGCCTATTTTTTTTCTCAAGCCACAGCCCTCTATCAAAGTAAAGGGTAACTTCCTTTTTATATATAGTATTTCACACCAATGACCACCTCTCATTGGCGACCACCCACACATTAGGCAAGCAATTTTTTTATGAGACAGACAGACAGACAGCCATGCAGAGGGAGAGACAAAGACAGGCAGAAACAGACAGTAAATAGATGTATGGATGGATGGACGGATGTATATAGGTACAAAGATTATTGACAACAGGGGATAAATGGATAGAAAAACGAATAGGTGCACGGGTACAGGGATGGATAGATGAATAGATAGATGGGATAGATATATAGATGGATAGATAGATGGATGGATAGATAGATAGATGGATTGATAGCTGGAGAATAGATGGATAAATAGTTGGATAGATGAATGGATAAATAAATAGACAGATGAATGGATAGATAGATGGACTGATAGGAGACAGACTCTCCTATCAAGGCAATACCGGGTATCCCTCTCTAGTATATCTATACTGTAAAAGAGTGTCTGTTCAAACTTGAAGGCCAGTTGCTTATGGCTAACCTCACCCACCCAATTTTGTAGGGAAATGCTCTGTGGTATGGGATGGACATAGGCTGGTCAGTGTAGGTCTAAGTTAAATACTACAGCATAAGAATATCAGCCTGTAACCTAACTCCCAGTGCAACTTTCATTCAGTCTGAAATTAAATTATAGATGTGTTTTCCATAGAGTTTACGATGCAGTTTCATGGCACAGTATACTGTACTGGAAAATGATGAACTGAATTCATTCAGGTTACAATGATGAAAATAGTGATTATGATTACAATGATGTGGATTGTGAGTAGTGAAGATTGTTATGTTGATGACAGTATATTCGGTGAAGATAGTATGTATTGAAGATGTAAAATGGTCGGAGAGGGAGGATGAAACGGGGGAAGAGGAGGGAAGGGGGGGATGAAATGGGAGAAAAGAAAGGGAGGGGGGGGTAAATGGGGAACAAAGGAAGAGAGAGGGAGGGATTGTGGGAAGAGGAGAGAAGAGAGGGATGGAGGGAGATGTGTGAAATGGGGGAGAAAAAAGGGGAGGAGATGGGGGAAATTGTTGGGAAAGTTCTTTCAGTTCTCGAGGCTGTGATGTCTTTTCAAGCCAAGCAGTGGTCTGTTCTGTCTCATTGAAACTCCTGGATGCCTTCCCTGATGGTGGCATAAATAAATAAATTAATAAGTAAATAAATTAATAACTGCCATCACTCCCTGCACCTCTATGAGAGGCCAAGTTATGGCGCTGGTCTCCATTAGGCCTATACAACTCCATTGCCGATGGGACCTAGTAGATGGTACACTATCAGTGATAGTAGTTTCAGTGAGCCATCAGGGCTCCCCCAGAAATTGGCATTTCATTACACTGACGCTGGGTTTTTGGCTATGTGCTGCATGTGAGTACTGAAGTTCCAGGTAAGTCTCTTGTCCAAAGAACGTTCCCTCATTTTTACTTTTAATGTTGACAGTGTATCTGAAAGTGTATTTGGTTCGACAATTTGTTTCTAATTTACTATGAGTTTGCTGGTTGACATCTATGAGTAGATTTTTTTTAAATTGTTATTTACAATATTATTTAGAGTGTGTTGATTTTGGTTTGAAAAGGTGAAGGTAGTATTGTGAGCAAATAGTATAGGTTTAAGAAGATTAGAGACATTTGGCAAGTCATTGTTGTACATACCTAAGAAATAAAAGAGATCCTAAAATCCTATCTTGTGGCAATCCTATAGTTAATGGTAGAGTGGGAGAGGTTATGTCATTGATGACTAGGAATATCTAAACTGCACTTCACTAGTCATTTCAATCCTTTAATGATCCTTCTGGACTGGGATATCATGCCAGATGAAATGTAAACAAAGCCTTCATGATTAAGGAAAGATGTACTGGTTTTGTAAGTGGTTGCATAAATGCTTGATGAATCCTGGCCCAGGTCCACAACACAACACACACACATATTAAGTATTAAGTTCTAGATATTAATGTTTTTCTTGCCCGAAACGCATTGCGTAATAGTGGCTTTAGGCATTGTATGTACTAGCTCTATCTATATATCAATCCATTAATGTAACATCACTTGTATGTATATACCTTACCTGAATAAACATCTGAATCTAAACATCTGAATCTGAATCTGAATATACACACACTACATTTGATGTACAGAACACTATTTGTAAATTATTAGTGACAAACAATTTTTGTTATTTTTGCACATCTAGATTAATTATTATATACTGTATGTGTAAAACAGGTTGTGTCAGCTCTCTACAGTGACGTCGATTAACTTGCCTCCAGCCAAAACTGGGCATGCAGCTTCACAAGATGTGAAGAGGGAGTTTATGTCATTGTTTCCTGACATTGTCCGTGACCTGACCGAGGTTGGGACACACTCTGATATTCCAGATGCCCAGAAGTGGTATGCCAAGGTTTGTAGTGCAAAAATCTTATTGTAATAATTTGTACTATTTTGTAGCATTATGTCCCCAATGTAGGTACAATAATAGCTTATTTGCCTTGAGTCCATTTTAATTTTGTCAAGCACTTGATAAGTGCTGTAATGGGTTTCCAGTTTTAAGACTGCTTATATATACTGTACTGAAGATGTCTTTTGGTATACACCTGTGGTCTGAGGGGTTCAATCTTTAACATGCTTCGCTTTATGTTTTTTTTGGCATTTGGCTTGGAATTTATGTAAAAAAAAAATATTTCTTGTAAAATTTGTTTTGTATTTTAAAAGATAAATTTGCTCAGTTTGCTAAACTATTTAATTTTAATTTTGGGAAATATAACCCTATGTATATTTAGTACATATTTTCATTTACGTGGAAATTTAGAAAAGTGAACTCAGACCTGTAAAATACAAGGCTATTACTTTACCAACAAGGATACCAGGATACTCATAATATACAAGGTCTCAGAAAGTACCTGACTAATACAGGTACTGTACTTAATCTGATATTTAAACCCTCCCTTGAGCTACATCCATCGAGACTGATTGGTAGAGCAACGGCATTAATTCTTGCTGTCAGCATTTAATTTCTGATTATGTAAGTGGTTGGACTGTTTCTTCATTCCTTTTATCTCAGTGTTTAGTCTGTCCTTGTATCCCTTCAAGTGCTATATAGTCATACTGTCTTAGTGCTTTCTCCTAATAATTATTACCCTCCCTGCAACATGACAGTGGCATCTGGTGATAATCCACCCTTTATCCACATTATATGCAGTATAATGTATTGAAAATTCACACTATCATGATCTATGCTAGCTCAGTAGTGTGGATCATGATAACTTAAAAAGTAAATGATTCTCATTTGCCTTGAAATTTAATTTGCAAGGTTTTTGCAGGACCAAAAATGAAGGGCATTCTGTATGTATATGAGCAAATATAAAGTTTTAGTAAGATAGTGCATACAAAATATTGTACTGTAATTTATGCCAGTTATTCAGAGGCAGCCAAATATGGAGGCATAGTGAGGAAAATAGCAAGGAAAATTACAGTATTGAGTGACACTATGTACTGAACTTATATATACTGCAGTAGTAAAGTGGATAGTTTGAGTAAATAAAAATGTTGATACAAATGTTGAAGCTTAAATTTAGGTTGTAGTAAAGTCAAATTCAGTTATTAACATTTAATGAGTCAAAAGAAGATGTATCATTATCATTTGTATATGTGTACAGTATTACTATTATTAAGATCATATTATGAAAAGCTTGATCTTTTATTTCAGGTTTTGCAGTACAATGCAGTTGGAGGCAAAATGAACCGAGGGTTAGCAGTATCTTTATCTTTTAAGCTGCTGGCAAACCAAGACCTTATAACACCAGAAAACATACGCTTGGCACATATTCTTGGTTGGTGTATTGAACTGGTAAGTTTTTAATGTTTCGAGGATATCTGTGTGACATGAATAATTAAGATGTCAATACAGTATTAGTGTTTGTATGCATTAATAAAAAGAAAGTAGTGTTTGTCTGACCATTTAAATCAATTTATCTTGTATATGAAAATACAGTAATCTATTTATTAGTTTTTTAATACTAAATATATTTAGTTTTAATTATTTAGTGGGTCACAGTCATGCAAAATTGA